CAGCACAGTGAGTGTGAGGCCTGCCTGGGATAGATGAGGCTATAGATCATGGTCGACTGAGTTACCTGTCCGTGTGTGACCTCATGGCCAGGCTCTCACTGAGGAGTCAGGCATCAGCTTTCTTTTTTCTCAGCATCTGCTGAGCAAACAGAGTGCTCAGCTCTGCCCTAGAGCCTGGCTGGGTGGAGGAATGTTGGCCCTGAAGGATTCCCAATCTTGCTGAAAGGTTCCTGAAGGGTTTGTAGATACAACTTCCTGACAGGCCACTGAGGAGAGAGGGGAGGCTTCAGAGACCTCCCCCGAAACCTGCAGCCTCTGAATGGAAGTAGATAAATCTAGTGGGGAGATGAGGGCCATAGCCTGGAGCTTCCCGGCCAGCACACGCTGAGCCCAGGATCCTACTTTCAAGTCCACGTTGCTGTAGTTGGTCTAGAAACCACGGCCGAAGGAGCCTGGCAGCCTGGAATTTGTCACTGCTTGGAGTGACACGAAGTACCTGACAGAGCAACTTATGGGGGTTGGAGAGATGGCTTGGCGGTTAAGAGCACTGGCTGGTCTTCCAGAGGACCTGAGTCCAATCCCCAGCACTCACACGGTGGCTCACAACAGTCTGTACTGGTTCCAGGGGATCCCAAACCCTCCCCTCACAGAGGCATACATGCAGGCAAAACACCAATGTATGTAAAATAAAATATATATATATATATACATATATATACATTAAAAAAATAATAATAACAAAACACATACCCAAAGGAGGGTTTTGTTTCAGCTCACAGTTTGAGCATGCTGTCCTTTGTGAGGACTCAGAGAGAGATTTTGGCTGGTATCTTGGCTGCCTTTCTCCTTCTCTCTTCAGTTAACTCTCCAGAGTTTCCCCGACACGCATGCCCAGAGTTGTCTCCTAGGTGACTCGGATCCTTTCCCGTGGATGTCAGGAACCACCACAGAGGCTGCTGAATGGGAGAACGCTCTGGAAAATCACAGGCGTGGAGAGAAGTGAAGGCTCCGACCCCAGCAGTGGCCACACTCGGTCCAAACTCTCTTGCCCTTCTCTCGCTCCGTAGCCCGCTCTCCCTCTCACCCTGTGAGCGTGGCTGGAGAGCTCTGTGTGTGGACCAGATGTGCTTTGAGCTAGAAGCAATCCTTCTGCCTCCACCTCTTGAGCTCTGGGGCGACAGGCATGAACCATCCTACCTACCAAAGGACGTTTGTTTGACCTGCAGAGTTATCCATCTCTCCTCCACGTCACCAAAAAATAGATAGGAAGAGAATAAGAGAGGAGGAGAGATGGTTAGGGAACACACACACACACACACACACACACACACACACACACATACACACACACACACACAGAAACCAGTTGAGAAGCATCAAGATTCAGGTGGGACCTTTCGGTTTGGGCCCACATTAAGCATCAAGGAAGGATTTTAAACCAAACAGCAGGCAGAGGGAAGCCAGACAGCCGCCTCCTCCCTCGCTCCCTGGCTGTGTCTGGTGGTACGCAGCTGACTGAGCCATTCCCAGACGGACGGACCCCGCAAATGTCAGTACTATTTTCATCCTCTCCGCTGCTGCTCGTCCCTGTCACTCCCTCCTTCCCCTGGTGGGTGGGTTCTGAAGCCACCGTCCAAGTAAACCCTTCCAGCTTGAAACATGCATTCCCACTTCTAGGGATTTGTCCGGGGCATGGGCAGAGGATTTAGTGTGGACTGTTCCTTCTGAGGCATATTTGTTTTAATTCATCTATGTATGTCTCTTGTCTGGTGTGCCACGTGCAGGCAGTGGCCACAGACGCCAGAAGGGGGCGTTGGATGCCCTGAAACTGGAGTTACAGATGGTTGCGAGTGAGTCATTTATTTTATTTTCCCCTGAGACAGGTTTCTCTGTGTAGCCTTGGCTGTCCTCGACTCACTTTGTAGACCAGGTTGCCCTGGAACTCACAGAGATCCGCCTGCCTCTGCCTCCTGAGTGCTGGGATTACAGGGGTGTGCCACCATGCCCGGCCCTTGAGAGTCACTTTGTGGGTGATGGGAATAGAACCTGGGTCCTTTAGAAGAGCAGCAGGTGCTCTTAACCACTGAGCTGTCTCTTCAGTCCTGTGGCAGGCTATTCTTTAAAACTGGGGGGGGGGGGAAGGGAGCAGGTTCTCGTTCCTGCCTTCCTGCTTGAGCGAGAATGTCCCCCACAGGCTCAGATGTTTGAATACTTGGTCCTGGGTCTGTTGTACTGTTTGGGTGGGTTCGGGAGGCGGAGCCTTTGCAGCAGGAGGTCCGCCCCTGGGGATTGCCCTTGAGCTTTCGGAAGCCGGAGCCATTCCCAGCTCTCTGAGTGTGGTTTGAACTGAGGGCCTCAGCTTCTGCTCTGGCCGTGTCTGCTGCTGCTGCTGCGTTCCCGCATCATCGCAGACTCTCTCCACCGATGCGCAGTCATCATCGGTGCGCATGCACGAGCCTGTGGCCGTCAGAGGACAGCTCCTAGGAGCCACTTCTCACCTACCTAGTGAGTCCTGAGAAGAGAACGCAGGTTGTCAGGCAGCAAGTAGCTTTACCCACTAAGCCATCTCACAGGCCTTTAAAGGCTGCTTCTTTTTCTTTTCTTCTTTTCTGTGTGTGTGTGTGTGTGTGTGTGTGTGTGTGTGTGTTCCAAACAGGGTTTCTCTGGGCAGCCGCAGCTGTCCTGAAACTCACTCTGTAGACCAGAGTGGCCTCGAACTCAGAGATCCGCCTGCCTCTGCCTCTCACCTCTCACTACCACCTGGTTGCAGGCAGATGTCAAAGCCAGCCTGGGTTACAGGAGACCCATAGTAAAAAAGAAAATATAGATTTTTTTATATAATATATGTTATATATATATGGGCCAACAATAGGGCTCAGTGGGTAAAGGTTGAAGCCTGACGACCTGAGTTCAATTCCTGGAACTCACGTGGTGAAGGGAGAGAGCTGACTCCAGCGAGTTGTCCTCTGTCCTCCGGGTTCAGTTAGAGGCGATGGCCTCTGCCTGCACGGGGGAAGGGAGGTGCGCGCGCGCGCGCACACACACACACACACACACACACACACACACACACAAAATAAAATAAACAGGTAGGTGTTTATTGACAAAGGCACATGCATGTATCAGGTTTAAAAAGCAAGTTACAAGCATGCACAATAATACAATGCGTAGCCCACCCCCTCATGAGAATGAAAGCCGCCGATCTGAGGAAGCAGTCCGGACCCCTGGAGAGGGGCACTCTGAGACTTCCCATTCTTTCTGTCTTGTTTTGTTTGTCTGTTTTGAGGCAGGGTCTGTAGCCCAGGCTATCCTCAAGCTCCTGATCCCCCTGCCTCCACCTCCCAAGTTCTGGGGCCCGAGGTAGACTTGTGCCAATGCCCCTGCTTTTATCTGATTGGTGCTCCCTGTGGAGTGCTCCCTGGGGTAGAAGCACGCTTCCCTGTATCACCCCCGAACAAGCTGACCCGGGCTGAGGGAGGGCAGGCCAGTGACCTCGGTCAAAACCCGGGGCTGGGGAGATGGCTGGGGGGTTAAGAGCGCCGGCTCCTCTTTCAGTTGAGCCAGCTCCATTCCCAGTGTGCACAAGCACCTCAAACTCCGGTTCCGGGGTGCCCATCACCCCTCTGACCCCGTGGGAACCGGCAAGACACAGTGCACAGAACTCAGGCAGACGTGTGTGGGTGTAAGTAAGTTCTTAAACCGTCCTCTGCTGAAGCCACCCACCCCTCATCCCAACACTGGGAAGGTGGGTCAGGGGAGCAGGGACCCGGAGTTCAAGGTCATTCCTGGCTGTGTAGTGAGTTTGAGGCCAGCCTGGGCTTCGTGTAACCGAGTCCCAAAAGCACACACGTCCTCCTTTGTACCCTGTCTTCTGGGTGAGTCGGCAGCCCTGTGGCCTGAAACCTTGGTAGCTGCTTGCTGGGCTTCACAGCCCTCCCGAGGGGGGAGACGCTGATCGCTTGCTCGTGCCTACGAGTGGTAAGGCTGAAATTGCTGAAACGACCAGGCTTCCTGCTCCCAGGAAGGGGTGTGAGCGATACGTGTTCACATCAGAGTATGGGGTTCCCACTCCTCAGTGCAGGTGTGATCTGGGTGTGGGTAAGGGGTGGTTTGGAACCACCTAACAGCAGCAAACCAACACTGGCCTGGCTTCGTGACTTCAGGCAAGACGCTGCTCCCTGCCTCGGTTTCCCCTATCGGCACCCCTATCGGCACCCCGGCGTTAGACCAGTAACGTGTCTGAGAGCTAGCAAACCTAACAGGAACAAGCCATCCTTTTGTCTCTAACTTGCCTGCGACTTTGGGCAAATCGGTTACCCCCGCTGTGCGCGGATCGATTGCCAGGCACGCCCTGTACCAGACTCTCTTGGCTGCGAGGACTCAGCCCTTCCCGCCCACTCGAAGATCTCGTTGATCTGGTCTCTGGCAGAGATGCTTATGCAACCCCAGCTCCGCGGCCTCCCACGCCAGGGAGCTCATGGCTGCACAGGCCCCTGTTACATATGCAGGATGCTAACTTTATCCAAAAATCTCCATAAGATACTTGATCGGGGACTGGTGGTATAGCTCAGCGGTCAAGGCCGCGCAAGGCCCAAGTTCAATCCCTGGCACCACTTGGTGCTCTTGGGAGGACCTAAGCTCATGAATAAAACATACACATGAATAAAAACATTTTAAAACTCTGGTTATGGGAGAGGGGTTGCAGCTAAGAGGGCGGCATGGGAGATGGTAGAATCAGGAGTTCAAGATCACCCTTGGCTACATAGTAAGGGTGAAGCCTGCCAAGGGTCTGTGTCCTCTGTGTATGTGGCCACGCGGGCTCCTGGACCCAAGGGTGAAGCTGTTAACCTCAGTGAGAGACCCACCCTCCCCCCTCCCTCTCCTCCTCCCTCCACCCCCTTTCCCCCTGTCCAGCTCCCTACCCCTCTCTCATCCCCCTCCCATCCTGCACTGCGGACTGATGGTGCGTCCCCTCCTCCCTCTGCTCCCTCCCCCCACAGAGGAGTACCTACGAGTGCTGAATATGGGCCTGGCCGAGGTGAAGAAGTTCTTCCTGGGACCTCTGTCGCCGTCCTGCAAGATGGTACAGCTGATGCGACAGTTTCTGTACAACGTGCTGCCGGAGGACTCCTACAAGTTCGCCAGCGGGAGGCTGCATGTGAGCCTCACGCGGGTCACGGACGGCGAGAACGTGGTGGTCTCCGAGTACACGTCCAAGGAGGAGCTCATAGAGGCAAGGTCCCCCGTCCTCCATCACGGGCGGGGTGGGGGAGCATGAACTGGGCTGGGCCAGTCCACCCGCCTCCTCCCTCCTCCTCCCCTTCCCGGCCCTTCCCTTCTGTCTGCATCTCTGCGGGGGGGGGGGGGGGGGGTGAGGGGGAGCAGTTCCACAAGAGATGACACAGAGATCCCTACAGCCAGCCAAGTCTGGAGGTGGGCCCCCGAACCCAGACCTGGGTCCCGGTGTCCCCCTCTCCCCAGGTTGTAGAAAGGAGAAGGAGCAGCTCCCATGCTCCCCCTCTGTCCCAATGAGCTTTAATGGAGGGTTGAATTACCCTCTGTAGCTCCGTGGGTTGTCTGCCTAGCTCGGTCGAGGCCCAGGTTCCATCCCCGGCATGTAAGCAGGGCTGACTAGAAGTTCAAGGTCACCCACTGCAGAGCAAGTTTGAGGCCAGCCTGAGCTACATGAGTTCGAGTACACGTACACACACACTTTTAAAAAAACAATTAATGGGCCCGAAGAGATGGCTCGGTCTTTAAGGGTACTGGCCCTCCTCCAGAGGACCTTGGTTCAGTGTCCAGCACCACATGGCGGCTCACAACCCTCTATAAAGGGGATCCGACACCCTCTTCCGATAAGCGCTGATGAAACATCCACACACGTAAATCTTGAAAAATAAAGGGTTGGATTTTCCCTGGAGGTTCCCCGCCCTGGCGTGGCACTGCACCGAGCTCATGGGGTTTGGTGAATAATCGCGACCACTGAACGGACCCTGGCTCTGTTCAACCTTCCACCTCCTGACTTTACTCTCCTCCCCTCTCCCGGCCTCCCCTCCCCAGGCCTACCCCATCCGGGAGTTCAGGTAAACAAGCACCAGGCCCCCCCGGGTGCCACCCTCAAGTCCATGGCTGCAGTCTCTCTCCCAGCCTCCCCCAACTCCCTCTCCTGCTATGGAGTCCACAGCTCACCGAACCTCAAACAGGCCACTTCTGCTACCTGCCTCCTTCTCACTTCCGGCCCAGCTCTCCCTGCTTGGCCAGAGTCCAGCCCCTTTTTCCCCCCTGCCTGGCCTCCCTTTCTGAGGCCACAGCAGCCTTCCCACCTTCCCCTCTCTGCTCCTGTGCCCTCCCCTGGGTGGCTTCTTACCGTCCTTTGAGTCCAGGGCCTGGTCCAGGACAGCGGCAGGGTCACAGAAAGCTGGTAGTCAGCAGAGACTCTGGGTACATCAAAGCCACCCACTCTTTAAGGTAGGGATGTCAGGTCTGACTAGATTGCCAGTCTGCTAGGTGATCCAGTAGATTACCAACCGCTCAACTAAGGATCAGGATGGGAACAGAATTTAAGACTGTTTCCCAAGCTGGTACCCTGACTTTAAATTTAAGGAATTGGGTACCGGTAGGGGTCAGGGGTCAGCAGCGCCCACCCCAGGGACTGTGGTGTCTCAGCCCCCGTCTCTTGTCTCTTTCCAGGCTCTGTATTGTAGCTGCTTCGTTCCTGTCTACTGTGGCTTCATCCCCCCAATGTATCGGGGCGAGGTGAGTGAACGGGTGACCAGACCCTGAGGTGGGGTAGTTAAGGCGAGGACTGTTTACCTCTCAGAATTTCTAATGTAGATGGTGCCTAGGTCTTTAAGGGGAGCCGCCTCTCCTGGCTTTAGGGTCCTCCTCCTACCCACCAAGCCTGTAGTGAAACCAGCAAGTCAAGGCTCCCGGGCTTGCCAGGTTTTCCCGGAAGTCGGTGTGCAGAGTACAGAGCCAGGAGCACAGGAACCGGGCACCGTGACTGAGGAGACCTTCGGGGCCAGTGGGCCCTGGCTTTCATGTGCCCAAGATGATGGGGCTCTGCTCCCACAGATCTGGGCAGGCCATGATTCTGCACCCCGTGGCGGGCCTCGGGGTGCCCTGAGACCAGTCCCTGGCTGCAGTCTGATGGGGTGCAACCCCTGGCCCAAAGGCTCTCCTCACCAAGCCTTTCCCAGGCATAGAGTCTGTTATGCCTGGAACTGTTCCCTCGCTCAGTTCATTTGTGAGGAGACCAAGAGAAGCCCCACCCATGCTCCAAAGGAAAGGGGCTGGAGATGGGGGGGGGGCGCCTGTGAGGCTGTGGGAGGGGGCTTGGTCTCTGGAGTCATTCAGAGGCAGGACCCCCACACAGAGGCCAGGACCACTGAGATGGCCACGGGAGAGCAGTCCAGGGCATTAGACTGGGAGTCGGAGGCCACTATAGACAGCCCATACCTCGGGGTGTACCATTTACCTCGGGTCTCATGGCCCTGCCGTCTCACGGGCCCCCTTCCCACCTGCAGAGGTACATCGATGGTGGCTTCACGAGCATGCAGCCCTGCGCCTTTTGGACCGACTCCATCACCATCTCCACCTTCAGCAGCCAGCAGGACATCTGTCCGAGAGACTGCCCGGCCATCTTCACCGACTTCCGGATGTTCAACTTCTCCTTCCAGTTCTCCCTGGAGAACATCACCCGCATGACCCATGCGTTGTTTCCCCCGGACCTGCTGGTGAGCGACAGGAGAGTTGTCTCGGGATCCGTGCCCCTCCCCTCAAAGGGCCCAGGGTGTTGCCGTGGTTAAAGGACCGCTCAGAGCAAACGGGGCTAAAGATGTGTCTCAGTTGGTGGAGTCCTTGCCTACAGCATGCGTGGAGCCCCGGGTTCCATCCCCAGCCCCACATAAAGGGAACACGGTGGAGCGCCATAATCACAGTACTGGAGAGGTATAGGCAGGAGGATCAGGAGTTCAAGGTCATCCTTAGCTGCCTAGGGAGTCTGAGGTTAGCCTGGGCTACATGCCATCCCATCTCAAACAGAGTCCTGCAGCAGAATCTGGGCTCACCAAAGGCCTAAAGGTTTCCAATTCGTCTGCCACCACTTAGAAAAAGCTCTGTGCCCGCACCTCTCACATGGCCCTCCCAACGCCCTCTGCGAAGGCACCATCGCTGTCCCCATTTGACAGGTGGAAAAAGTGAGGCTGTGAATGGTTACAGTTACACAGCCAATGAAGGGGTGGCACCAGGATTTGAACCGAACCCCCAAACCATCCTTCCCATGTCCCAGATGTGTGGCCTCGGTTTCCCGCCGAAACATCCCAGCCTTCCCGGGAGGACGGTGTGAGCTGGGAGCGCAGGCCTGGGCCTGCTGACAGGCCCTGCGTGGGGACAGGGACAGGGGGAATGTGAGCTTGCTGAGCATGGCCGTGAGTGGGACGGTGGCTCGCTTGGTGGCTGTGGCCTGGTTCATTTTCCTGTGTCACCACCTACCTAGATCCTGCAGGATTATTACTACAGAGGATATGACGACGCCGTTTCGTACCTGCGGAGGCTGAGTGAGTAGCTGGAGCCTGAGGAAGGGTTGGTGAGGGAGGTGGTGGGGGAGCGGAATAGCATTCTGGGTAGAGGACAGCATCCTGTAGCTGTAGCCAAGAAAGCTGGGCACGAGGACAGAGACCCAGAAGCCTGCACTGCCCAGGGCTGGCACACGAGGGCAGTGGCTGGGATGATTCTAAACACATATTTACAAAATTGAAGACAAAGCCAGGGCTGGAGGTGCAGCTCAGTGGGTAGGGTCCTTGCCTGGCATGCACAAAGCCCTGGGTTCGATCCTCAGCGTAAGACCCGGGTGGTGTAGGAGTGAATGCCGGCTAGAGAGGACAGGGGTTCAAGGTCATCCTTGGCCATCTGGCTTCTTCCAGGCCAGCCTGGGCTGCTCAGGACCCCGTCTCAAGTAGGCGTGACTAGTTATGTTTGACAAACTGATTGACGTCCTGTGTTGGTCTGGGAAAGGGACCTTTATCAGAAGACTAGAGTGAGTCCGGAGACGATCCCTCAAGCTCCATGAAGGTGTGGCAAGCATCTGAGGAGGCGGGTGAAAGGCCTGCCTAGGGTTAACTCCTCAGAATTGATGTCACAGGGAGGGCGTTCCAGGGCAAAGCTGCTTACCAATGCTGGCCCAGCCTTCCTCCGTTCGCTCACACTACAATCCAGGTGGAGGTATACTCTTCTGTCACAGCCGTACAGAACGCTTGGCTGCCTGCCTTTGAGTCCCAAAGCATTTCTTATTCTGACACATCTCATCTCTGTGACTTAAAAACAATTCTTCGAGCCAGCCGTGGTGGCGCACGCCTTTAATCCCAGTACCTTTGGGGAAAGAAATAATATATACTAGAAATATATTATTTCTTCAGATTCGCTTCCTGCCTTCTCTGGTTCCCTTACCTTCTCCCCTTAGTTTCTCCTGGTCCTTTCTTCTGTCCAGGCATCCAGGGACTTGGGAAAACAGAACGATGGGCGAGAGACAGACAGACAGAGAGAGAACAATCGAGACTTGGGTTCTGGAGACAAGCAGTCCCCAGCCCCACCCCCAAGCTGTGTGTCCTTGGAAAAATCTCTTCCTGTCTCTGAGTCTTGTCTCCAACTTTGTAAGGAAAGGCTTGTACCCAGCTCCTGACACCTTAGAGGTGTTCAGTATTGAATCTCCTGGGGCCTCAGTTTCCCTACCTGTGAAGGAGGGGACATGGGAGGGACTACCTCAGAGAGTTTTGCTGTGAGTACAAAAGGTTTCACATCAGGGTCACGCACCCCTGTTTCTCCCGGAGCCTGGAGGATGGGGGCACTGGCCAGTCACCTTTGGCCACCAGCTGGGGAGCCCTCCACTCTCTCCTGGGTGATGGTGTTCGCCAAGGACTTGAGGTTGGTAAGATCCTATGACTTGATACTTGAGATTTTGGAGGCAACTCCATTTCCCCAGCCAGGGCACACCCTCTGCACAGCTTAACTAACCGGGCAGGTTCCTGTCTCCTGCAAAGGACACCCGGGTTCTTCCTTGGAGCCGTGTAATGCACACACCCTCCACCAGGTGGCGCCAGCACACACTCACGAGTCCATCCATCCAGCAGACAAGGCTTCTGGGATTTTTTTTCCATTTTGGTTTTTCGAGACAGGGTTTCTCTGTGTAGCCCTAGCTGCCCTGGACTCACTTTGTAGACGAGGCTGGCCTCAAACTCTCAGAGATCCGCCTGCCTCTGCCTCCTGAGTGCTGGGATTAAAGGCGTGCGCCACCGTGCCAGGGGTTTCTTGGATTTGTCTCTTGGCACCGGATGTGATCAGGAGCTACTGAGAAATTCCTGCTGGTACCAGAGCCTGCCACTTGGAAGCACTCAGATTGCTGGTCCGGGGACATGGGGAGACACTCACGAGGCCCAGAAAGGTGTCTCCCTGGACCCCTCCATCTCACTCCATCTCCCCCTGCCTGGTTCATCCACCCAGTCACCCCTGCAGTTAGGAAGCCTCTGCCCCGCCCCCGGCCCTCCTGGGTGCGGGGAAAGAAGAGGCGGGAGCTGAAGGACGCCAGCCAGCGCCCACCTGCGCCCAGCGGGTGTCCAGCACTCCCTCTGACAAGGCCCTCCCCCAGCGCACCATCATGGCCCTCATCTGGAGAGGCCTGAAAACCTGTGTTTAATTTCCAGGCCTGGTGGCTGGGGAACTGGGAATGGGGGCGATCAGGGTTCTGTGGCAAGTTTGAGGCCAGGCCTTAAAAAAAAAAAAGTTCCTGGAGCCCTTCTATGATCTCCCCCACCCCCACCTCTCCTCCCTTCCTTAGGGCCAACCCCCACCCCGGTATTCTTGCGCGCACTCGTACGCTACACTATAAGTAAATGAAGTCCGACACCCCGTGGTTTCTCCCAGACGCCGCGTACCTCGACTCTCCCAGCAGGAGAGTGATTTTCCCGCGGGTGGAAGTGTACTGCCAGATCGAGGTCGCCCTGGGCCACGAGCCGCCACCTCGCAGCGCGCCCCGCCTCCCGGCACGGAGGACCCGCCCTGCAGACTCCGCACAAGCCCGCGTCCCAGGGGCTCCCCGAGAGGACCGGAAGGATGGCCGCCCCCCAGCACCGCCGCCGCCTGAACCCCGGCCCGCGGGGTTTGTAGAGGCCCCCACTTCGCCACCAGCCTCTGAAGGCGAGCCGTCGGCCTCTCCCCAGCCAGGCCCGGCCGTGGGCACCCGGCTGCCCACCGGCCCCTGTGACGTTCGCCCAGGAAATCTTAGCACCCCAAACCCGAGGCTGGGAGCCGAGGATGACGCCCGGCTCTCGACTGCGGACTCGCACAGCTCGAAGGCTGGCTCCTCCGTGCCTGACGCATCTCCCCAGAGCCCTCATCCTTCCAAACTGCTGCTCAGACCCTCCCAGGAAGCCAGGGAGGCCCCAGAACCGCCACACTGCAGTCCCTCACCACCACCATCGGCCCTCCCGCCTGCGGAGGAGCTGGACCCACAACCGCCCACAGGTACGACCCTCCCTGCTTGGCCCTCAGGGGCTAGTGTCAGGCCACTTGTGTGTTTGCGCCATTGTCTCAAAGCTCAGCCCCTCCCTCCAGCAGTGAAAAAGGGGACTGGAGAGAAGGATGGTGCAGAGGCAGTGAGGACCCGAGTTCAGTTCCCAGAGCAGCGCGTGGCTCACCCCACTTGTGATCCCTCTTCCGGATCCCAGGGCACCTGCGCGCGGACGCGCGCGCACACCACACACACACACACACACACACCACACACACACACACCACACACACACACACACACACACCACACATACACACACACACCCCTACCTCCCATTTACACAACTAGAAATACATCTTTTTTTGTTTGGTTTGGATTTTGGAGACAGGGCTTCTCTGTATACCCTGGCTGTCCTGGAACTCAAGAGATCCTCCTGCCTCAGCCTCCTGAGTGCTGGGATTAAAGCTGTGTGCAGCCACCACTGCCCAGCTAAATAAATCTTTAAAAAAATAAAATACATTTAATATTGATATCATGGGCTTATTACAGTAAAGCCTTTAATAACTAGAGCCATTTATATCTAGAACTCATACAACTTACACAAATGTTTAATCAACGAAAACAAACCCGTGGGAACCCGTGAGTTTGATTTTCCCAGAACCCACATCAAAGCTGGGTAGAGCAGCACATGCCTGTAATTCCAGGGCTGGGAGCATGAAGACAGGCAGATCCCTGGAGCTCACTGACCAATGGCCTAGCCAGATCAGGGAGGATTTAATCCCAGCACTCGGGAGGCAGAGGCAGGTGGATCTCTGAGTTTGAGGCCAGCCTGGTCTACAGAGCAAATTCCAGGACAGCCGGGGCTACACAGAGAAACCCTGTCTTGAAAAACTGGGAAAGGAAAAAGAAACAAAGGCAAGTTTTCTTGACAACAGCACCTCACTGCCGTGTCCCTGGATGGTCTGGCTTTCGTTATGTAGACCAGGCTGGCCTCGAACTCAGATATCCCCCTGCCTCTGACTCCTGAGTGCTGGGATGAGAGGGGTGCCGGCCCACATCTGGCATCCTTGCTGGTTGTAAGCACTCACCATTGCAATTTGTGAAACGACCCCGTCCGGGGTACCTGCCTCACACTTCCCGTGTACTCACTCCCGCTGCAGGACCTCCCCGCTCTTCACAGCTGACGGACACCACAGCACCAGGTACCGGGAAGGAAGCGCCCCGAAAGCCTTTGCCGTAAGTTTCTCCTTCCTCGGGACGTGCTGTCACCTTTGCTCAGCTAAGTGACACTTCTACCCTTTCAGCTGCCTGTCAATCAGCTGCCTGTGTTCTTTCCCTCTCCTTCCTCCCCAGTAAGGCGTTGTGTGGAGCATGCCTGTTGATGGGGGCGATGCCATCCCCCTGCCTCCCTCCTACCCACACTGGGTACACCATGCGCACTCCTAGCCCCGGGTCTTATTTTGGGTGAAGCCACGGTTGGCAAGGTCTAAGTGGTGGGTGCCCCATCCTGGCCTTGGGTAGCCCCTGATGATATGAAAGGAGTCTCAAGGATCGCCTTTGAGGCTGGCATGGTGGCCCGTGGCTTTAACCCCGGCTCTGGCGCTGTAGCCTTGGTGTGATGTGGGGAGCTGCCTCCTTTGTCTGAGTTGTCTCGCCATTATTATCTCTGAAGTCGTGGGGGGGGGGGGGGGGAGGATGGGGGATATTGGAGAGTTTCTAAGAGAGCTCTGAGAACTACATTTCCCAGGATCCCTTGCTGGTTGGGTAACAGACTGGACAATGAACGATCAGTAGGGGGCGGGGGTCAAGCATATGTTGGCCCCCCCATCCCACACTTCAACTGTCTTTATTGTTGGATGTGAGTCTCAATACAAAGCCCAGGCTAGCACTGAGCTGGCAAGCCTGCCTCTGCCTTCAGAGTGCTGACTGTGGAGGGATGTGTTACCATCACCTTGCCTGGCATAACTTGCTGGTCCCTCCACATGGGAACAGCCCTGACAATGGCTGGACTCTTGGGCATTCTTCCTTTGACATCTGTATGTGTTACATCAAGCTTTTTAAGATGTATCGGAGTTGGGCGGTGGGGGTGCACGATTTTAATTCCAGCACTTGAGAGGTAGAGGCAGGCGGATCTCTGTGAGGTCGGGGCCAGCCTGGTCTACAGAGCAAGCTCCAGGACAGCCAAGGCTACACAGAGAAACTGTCTCAAAAAAAAAAAAAGTGTCTGTATCTGCCATCATTATGTGTAATTTTATGTCTATGCCTGGGGGGGAGGGGTGTGGCTGGGAGATGGCTCAGGGGTTACTAGAAACTGCTCCTGCAGGGGCCTGACCCAGGTCCCAGAAAAAAAAAAAAAAATCTTAAAAAAAACCTTTGACAGTTTGTGTAAGTTAAAGTATATAAAGTGTATGTGTCCTGTCTGTGTGGTTTTAACCTCTTTGTTTAGTGCTTGTAAATTTGGGCTTCGTCTGTGTCCTTGGCCTGGTTACTGCCCAGATGAATAGCTAATGATAATCAGGAATGTTTGCTGGGGAATGCTACCCCTGGCCTGGCTGGGCCTCCCGGGGTCACGAAGGGCTCTGCTGGTGGCAGACGCGGTCCAGGCCTTAACAAACACCTCCTCGGTCCCTTTGCCCAGGGAGAGCCCTGCTGCGCATTCACACACGGCAAAAAAGATGTTCAAGAAGAAACAGAAGACAAATGCGCCCAGAGAATTCTCCCAGAGAAACCCTCGGTCCAAGAAGCCGGTGAGCAAAGCGCAGTGAGTGCCTGGCTGGTGGGAGAAGGTCCCTGCTCTGCCAGCTGAGCTCAGAGCTTACGGTTAGGACAAGCAGGCTCCCTCCGAGCCTCCATTCTCTGACCTGCAAGAGAGGGATGATCCGGCTCAGCAGCCTGGGAGGGCACAGCACAGGCCGCTTGTGAACGGGAAGCCACTGAGAAGACAGCAGGGTCCTGAGCAGAGTAGCCCCAGCTACCCTAGAATCGACCATGAGGACCACGCTGGCCTCAAACCCATTGACTCTGAACCCGTGCTCCCCTTCTGCTCCCAGCTTTCCGTCCTGGAATTATAAGCACACAACCTATGTCATTCTTTTACCTTACTTGCACACACAGAAAGTTGCTTATGACCACTCTTCAATCCACTTGGTAGAAATTTCTTTAGACACCTATTTACCTACTGTTGGTCTTTGTGTGTGAGTGTGTGCTTCGGAGGTCAGAGGGCAAGTCTCCAGAGTCGGCTCCGACCTTCCATCTTGTGGGTCCCAGGGATGAACTCAGGCTGGCAGGGTTCGGGGCCCGTGGCTCTACCCACTGAACGTTACCCGGTCCTACATTTTTCCTTCACATCACTCTTGGGTCAATGGACTTGTATTTTATTCAACTGTCGACTAGTCCCTCTTCTCGGGTAGATGCTGGGACTCTCCCGCCTGCTCGCAAGTGACACGTGACAGAGGAGCCTAGGGGGCTGCCTATGTTTGGAGAGCAAGATTAGAGGCTGTGTCCACGGCAGCCACAATGTTACCCAGGAGCTGGTGTAACCTGCCAATCCTTGAGTCCAGTTGGGACCCCTGAATGAGAAACTGTGCTCACCAAATAAATCAATAAATAAAACTTTAAAGACAACAACAAAAACTATCCATGAGGGTGCAGTCTGGCTCAACAGACTCTTGTGATTTCCCAGAGAGGGCAAGCGCCCACCCTGGGGTCAGGTGACGGTGAGGCTCGGGACTCTAATCGCTCTTCTTTCCCCTCCCGTGTGTGTCCTTGCCTTCTCCTCAAATCCAGGTCCGCTCCTTGCCCACTCGACTTTCCTGTGCTCCCCACTTCCAAGACGGCTTGCGTCACCTACAAGCCTCATCCCAACCGGATCCAAGATTACAGCTGCCCTGAGGTATGGAACTCCTCTGGGCCTCACCCAGGAGTGGCCCTGCCCCTCCTGTCCAGGGGGCTCTGGCAGCCCTGAGCACACCCCCTAGCTTCATTTCCCGCCTTCCTGGCTCAGCCCTAGTCAACCCTAGCCCACTTTGTGTCAAGACGACAGCTGGGAGCTGAGGATGGGAAAGTGGGGCTGTCAGGTTAAGCACATTTTTGTTTTACAGAGCTCTTAAGCAGAGTGTAATTAAAACTTAACCCTAACTTTAGCCCTCATACTCTCAAGTCCCCAACGGGACTGTTGCAGACCCCAGGAGAGCAATGAATGAAAAAACAAAATAAAAAAGACATGACAATTCCTAGGTATGGTGGAGGAAGTTTATTGTAGGTATCTGGGAGAAAACAGCCAGAGGTATCAGGAAAAGTCAGGAAGTCTACGCTGTGGCCTGCTGTGAGGCAGAGTCACCCTGGCTAGCATCTGGAGGATGAAGCTCATGCTCGCACCCTAAGCCCATCAGGCAGAAGGTGCTCCTCAGAAAGGATGCCATCCCAGCTGGGCCCAGCAAGGGGGCCCAGGCTGCCCACAGGCTCCACCAGCACTTGCTTAACAATTATTCAAGAGCAAAACCTAAAGCCAAGGTTGACGCTCAACTATAAACTGGACTTAGCCACTGAGGACCAAGGGGTAAATGGAAGCAGAGAAAGGGGGCCCTGTGGCAAAGGGGACCTTGCAGGGAGCTATACTTGAGTCATTTCAGGGAACAATGTGAAGTAAGCCAATTCAAGCCAAACTCAAGTGTACAAAGGCAGGTTTATTGGAGAGGGCTCTCTTGGCCTCTTGGTCTTCGGCTTCTCTCTTGGTCCACTTGATTCTCCTGCTCTTCCTCCTCGATCCCCACCCTCATCTCATGGCCCTGTTCACTCTGCCGGTCATTTTCCAGTCTGGACTCCTCCTGGTGCCTCTGGCTTTTCTCTCCCTCATATCTACAGCAAACTTCCCCTCAGCCATGTCCTCATTTATTCGGACACATAGCAGGGAATGGCCTCCTCCCTCATTCACACCATCTTCATGGACCATTGTAAAAGAAAGATGGCTGACACAGTCTTTCTCTGCCTCTCACCTTGACACTCACAGGGCTGAAGCGAGTCGGGTCAGGAGGGCACTATGTCATTCCCAACATTACCAGCCTGGGAGCAGATGGGAAGCCCGGGGCTCATGACCCCCCCCAGGACCCCTTTGTTACTGTGTCAGCATGGAGTCACCCCAAGGATGGGGCATTTGAGAAACATCCAGAGAGAACCCAGGGCAGAGACGGGGCGGCTGTCCCCACTATTGTGTAAGCTCTGACTGCCCTGGATGGGGCCGGGTAGTGGCCATCTTGCCTCTACTGGATGGCACAGGAACAGCCATTTTGTCTCCACTGGATGGGGCAAGGGGGCGGCTATCTTGCTCCCCTGAAGAAATCTAGATCACACTGACAGAGTCAGTGTTTACACTTGCCCCAAACAACACAGTACAAAAATGAGACCTGGACACTAGCCTCGGGGACTCATAACAAATACTCTACAGCCTGGAAGGTTATGGCAGCAGAGAAGAAACCATGTCCAAGGTTTGAAGAGGAGGGTGGGTGGTAAAACTGCTGCTCTGTGCCAGGCAGCTCCAACTCCATGAGATACTGCGCCCTCTTCTGGCCTCTGTGGGCTCTGCACTCATATACACCCCCCCCCCATTATTAAAAAGAAAAACAAAATCCTCATATAAATAAAGGAAACTGTACAGTTGCCTATATCTCCACTTCTTGATAGGCAGAGCAGAACTGCCACAAGTTCAAGGCCAGCCTGTACTGTGTATGAGACTGATTAAAGAAAAATAAACTATGTACAAAAGGTTCCTGACCCCTGTTTCAGAACTTTAGCTCCTGGGGCTGGAGAGATGGCTCAGAGATTAAGAGCACTGGCTGCTCTTCTAGAGGACCCAGGTTCAATTTCCAGCACCCACATGGCAGCTCACAACTGTCTGTAACTTCTGTTTTGGGGTTCTGACACCCAAAAATATGCGCAGATAAAACAGCAATGGACATGAAATGAAAAATAAATCATTCTGTGCCACACCCCCGAACACTGCCTGAATAAACCTATGAAGAGGTCACCAAGTGCCTATAAAATTTTAAACAAAAAAAAAAAAAAAATTTTTTTTAAACAACCTCGATGCCATCAAGAAAAAAAAAGGATTCTTTTCATTGACCTTCCTGAATGGATGCCTCCAGCTTGAGAGCAGCCTCACCTGAGAGCCCAGGCCTCCCCTACCCTCAGCCTTGCTGGGAGCCTGCCACGCCACCAACAGTGTGAGTCTCCAAAGCTAATCAAGACTCGGCCTGCCATCCAGGATACCCTCCCCTACGGCCACACCCTCCTGCCGACTGCCCAGGGAGCCCGGGGCTCTAGCACCTCTGTGTGGACATGTGACGGCCATCCGAGTCTCTGGCCAGCTGGGAGCAAGGCACAGCCTCTTACACCCCCAGCTCACAGTTGTGCAAACAGACCCATCCACAGAGGAGGCATCCACAGCCACCAGCTGGGAGCCTATCGCCATGTCCACAATGCGCAGAAAATGTGTCTTAGCAGGGTTTCTAGGGCTGGTGCAAAACACCATGATCAAAAAGCAAGCTGGAGAGGAAAGGGCTCACACTTCCACATCAATGTTCATCACCAAAGGAAGTCAGGGTGGGAACTCACGCAGGGCAGGAACCTGGAGGCCGGAGCTGAGGCAGAGGCCACAGAGGGCGCTGCTCCCTGGCTTGCTCCTCATGCCTTGCTCAGCCTGCTTTCTCATAGAACCCAGGACAGCAGCCCAGGGATGGCACCACCTACAATGGGCTCTGCCCACCCCATGGATCACTAATTGAGAAAATGCCCTGCAGCTGGAACTCAAGGAGGCATTTCCTTGACTGATGACTCCAGCTTGTGACAAGTTGACACAAAGCCAGCCGGTATAACTGCTTGTCAACCTGACACACAAATGTCACTAACAAGCTACACCTCCGGTTTTCTTATTTGTTCCCACAAATCTCACATTAAAACAGAAATATCTTTAAAAGGGTTTTATTTTGTTTTGTTATGTTTGGTTTGTTGTTGGGTTTTTTTTTTAATTTTCTTTTTTTTTTGGGGGGGTGGGGGTGGGGGAAGGAGTGTTCTCTGTGTAGCCTTGGCTGTCCTGGACTCATTTTGTAGGCCAGGCTGGCCCTGCCTCCGTGAGTACTGGGATTAATAGGTGTGTGCCACCATGCCTGGCTAAAAGTCCTATCCTTTACAAAGCAAACACATTAAAATTTCATTCCTGGGCTGGAGAGATGGCTCAGTGATTAAGAGCTCTGTCTGCTCTTCCAGAGGTCATGAGTTCAATTCCCAGCAACCACAAGGTGGCTCACAACCATCTATACCCTCTTCTACTGCCCTCTTCTGGCCTGCAGATGTACACGCACATAGAGCATTCAAAATAAATAAAATCTAAAAAAAATAAAAAATTAAAAAAAAGAACCTGAGCTTTTAAAAAAGAGCCCACCTCTTAAAATCCAAAGTTTTAAAATTCAAAGTCTCTCAACCGTGGGCTCCAATAAGCACTTTCTTACTTCAAGGGGGAAAAAAATCAGGGCACAGTCACAATCAAATCAAAATCAAGCCTCAGGCCTCCACTGTCTGGGATCCACACACCATCTTCCGCGCTCACAGCTCTGCCCTCTGCGGCGCACGAAGCTCGTCTCTGGGGGTGTTGGGGAAGCACAGACCCGGGCCATGCTGCAGGGGGGTCAGGGCGTCCGGGCCGAGGCTGCCGACCAGCGGCTGGTCCTCGTGCGCGTCCTTCAGTCGGGGCTCTGTCCATCCAGACTCAGGATGTCCTGGGAGGGGGAAGGGCCGCAGCCCACGTCAGCGCGGCTCCCTTCCGCCTTCCACACCCTCACCAGGCCGGCCAGCCTGGGCAGCTCCCCGCCCCACCGCGCGCAGCGCCCCCAGTCCTTCCGCCGCGGCTCCGGGCTCCAAGGCCTGCGCATCCCAACTGCACCTGCCACCTCCCGGAGGCCCTCCAGGACTGACGGGCGCCACCGCCCTCCGCCTCCTGCTGGCTCCTGTCGCCGTGGTTAGAGCTGTCCCAGGAGAGGGCGCCAAGGAGGTGGCATTTGAACTGAGGCCGGAAAGATGGCTCAGCAGGTTAAAGCCACGAAGCCCGGCGAGCCGACTTCATTCCCCAGAAACCACACGGCAGAAGGAGAGAACAAGGTCTCCCCCGGCCCCCACGCCTGCATGCCGGTACACGCACGCACATACAGTAAACAGGTAACATTTGGGTGTGTTAGTGCTCCGTCCGCACATGCTCCTGCAGGCCAGCAGAGGGCCCGTGTGGTTGCTGGGAATTGAACTCAGGACCTCCGGGAGAGCAGCCATTGCTGCTTAACCTCTGAGCCCTCTCTCCAGGCCCCCGAAAGAAAACCTGACTGAGCGAACCAGGACGGCCCGGAGGTCCCCTTAGAGGACCCGCCAAAGCCCCCTTCCTCTCACCTGCCGGGCCTTCCTGGACAGGAAGTGGGCGTAGCTGTGCCCCGGGTACTGGCCTCGGGTCTGCATGAGGGTGCAGATGGCGCAGCTGTGGTTGGCGGCAAACTTGTTGAGCGAGCCGAAGGCGCAGGGCGGGGGTCTGTCGGCGAGGCTCCCGGCGGCCCCTGAGAGGCGGGCCCTCTGCCCGTCCAGGGCGGCCGCCAGCTTCCTGAGCGAGGCCTCCGAGAACTCATTGAAAAAGCGCCGGAAGCTGGGGTGCTGCCGGATCTGCAAGGGAGGCCGAGGTAGGTGGTCAGCGCGGCCGCACCCGAGCCTGCTCCCTCAGGTCCCAGCCGAGCACCCCTTCATTAGATCCCTCCCCTGCCCCCCACTTCCACACGGCGTGGCTTGCAGCTGCAGGGCTCAGCAAAAAAGCAAAATCACAGGCACGTGGACCAGATCAGCACACAGAGCGGGGCACTCGGAGCCTCCCTTTGCTACAAAGATGGGCGACCAGGTTCCCCTCTCCGAAACGGGTCGCGGTAGAATGGGGACAGTCCACGCCAAACATTTCATGGGGTCTCAGCCCGTGCTAAATCCTTCTGGCCAGTTGACTTCGCTTCCTATCTGGACGTGGCAGCTGGGGTCTCCCGGGGTTGGGCCCAAACCTCATGGGCGTCCCGTGTCCCCGGCTAGGGGTCTGCCTGAGTCCCTTGAGGCAGGGTCCCTCACTGACCCTGGAGGTAGGCTGGCCGCCAGCTGAGCCCAGTGACACTCCCGCCTCCTTGTGACAGCTCTGGGCCAGCAGGTGCACGAGGCCATGCCTGGCTTTTCTTTACGGGCACGCTTGGGATTTGAACTTGGGCTTCGGGCCTGCCAGGCGAGCACTCTTCCCTGCCGACCTGGCTGCCCAGCCTGCCTGCGCTCTGTTGTTTTAAGCTGCCGTTCTCCTCACCTGCCACTCGTTAGGGCCCTCTGAGCAGGCACGGTTTGCTCAAACAGAAGTTATCCCTTTTGCAGAAGCAGAAACGGAGGCTCAGAGAAGTCAAGGGACGTGACCGAGGACACTTGGAAGGGGGGGGACGGAACCCAGGTCTCAGAGGTGGGTACACGAGCACCTCCCCCACACCCCATATCTCACCTGCCTCCCTAGCTCACTGTCCACCTCTTGGAGGTCCTCCACCAGCTTAGAGATGATGAACTCCTCTGAGGGAAGAAAGGATGGATGAGAGGCTGTTCCCAGCGACACACACACACACACACACACACACACGCATGCCCACGGCAGACTGCCACAGCAGCTCAGCTGTCCAGGTAGAGACCTCCTGTTCACTCTAGGCACCTGTGACCGAACTCGGCTCCTGACACACGGGGAATCCAGGGCCCCTCATGTCAGGAATGGAAGCGTCAGGCGCTGCCACAGCCGAGGGCGGCTTAGCTGGCTTTCGGCCCTTTGGTGCTGATTTGGGCTGGGCTCGCTAGAATACGTAGGAAAACCCTCGGAGAGGTCATTCTGGACCCTTCACGGCTTGACTCGGGACCAAGGTGGGACCATTGACACCGGTGGCCTTGACTAAGGCCTCATCTGTACCCTAGCCCAGCAGCCCTGGTTTAAACAGCACCTCACTGCTCCTGTCCCCGCTGCTGGGCCTCCTGGGGGAGTCAGGGTGGGGGGGGTTCGGCCACCTTTTCCACACCTAGGGGCATTCCCTATCGGCCGGGGCTACCCTAGCGGGCGCAGGGTGTACTCACTGGATTCGAAGGCTCCCTCGGGTGGCATCCCCTCCTGTGGTGGGTGACTTCTGGCCGGGAAGGGTGCTTCTGGGGACCCGGCTGGTCCTCCCCCTGCAGCCTCCGTCTTCTGGAACTCCAGGCTTTCTGAATGGGATTGCAGAAGAAAAAAATTAAAAACGGGCGGGTTTGGCATCCGTCTCAGTCCTTGTGGGGGAAGGACTATCCTTTTCCTGAGGGGATCTCCATGTTCCCTCCCTGCCCTCTGCTTCCCCCACAGGCTGCAGTCTAAAAAGCACGTGGACGGGCCCATGACTCCCACTCAGCAGTCACCCCCCCCCTTAAATGTGCAAGACTTGGCCCTGTCAGTCTGAACGCCACCTTTCCCTGTTGTCAAATGGAACTCTTAAGACAGGCCAGGCGTGTTAAATGAGATGGTATGTGTTAGTGCTGTATACAGCAGGCATTGCATAAGTGCCAGGGAATCCTTGTATACCAGCGGTCCTCAGGCCTCGAACTCACAGAGATCCACCTGCCTCTGTCTCCAGAGTACTGGGATTAAAGGCGTGTGAAGGCACGGCCTTCGGTTACCGTGGTAACGCCCAGCCTGCTCACCTGGGCTGCCGGAGGAGATGGAAGCCCTGTGGCCCCCGACACACAAGGGCAGGAAGGTGTGCCTCTTGGGCGGCTTGGCCTCCGGGCTGCTGGCAGCGTCCGGAGTCCCCGAAGCCTCTGTTCTCTTAGAATCCTTGGAGCTGTGTTTCCTGAGAGAAAAGGCTCTCCGGAGGTTGGATTTCTTCCCGTGTGCCTTCACCCTGCCGGCTGGGGCTGGGGCTGGGTTTTCTCCGGCCTCCTCTGCCTCCTGCTGTGGAGATGGAGTGAGAAATGGAGTCAGGGCTCCTGGCCTCCAGAAGGTCAAAGGTCAACTATGGCCTAGAGGGTGTGACCCAGCAGGAAGGGGGATGTCGTCTGGGGGAGGCAGGAGGGATGGGGTTCCCCGGAGGGCAGGTTAGGGGGACAGGGTGTCTCACCTGCTCTCCTTTCTGCTCCTCTGCATTCTGGAGCAGGGCCAGGATCTTCCGCCTGAATTCTCCTACGGAAAGGACAGGGTTCCTTACAAAGGCCTGGGTGGCCGGGGCCCGGGGCCACACACCCCAGTGCGTTACAGGCTGTGCTATCTCCCGGGTGTGCCCCCGCTCTCCCCCAGGTGTGTAAAGCGTCTCCAGATGTGTAAGACCTGACGATATTTCACACCCAGGCCTGGCTCTGCCAACCATGAACCGATAACCATGGCAACACTTCCTTTTCTCTGCGCAGTCCCTTCCTGTCCCTGCCCCAGTCCTCCAGCTGCCCCAGTCCTCCAGCGTCTGCTGACAGGCCCGGCCCCACCCCCACCCCCACTCCCACCCCCTGATTTACAGGCTGTCATTCAGTTAGCACCTCCGGCAACTCTCAAGGGCCACCCTTGGAAAATGAGGAAACTGAGGCTAGCAGTCAAGAGTGCTCCAGGCCGATGCTACCTTCACAGCCACAAGGAGCTTGAAATAGGCCTCCGCCTCCCTCTCTCTGCCTCAGTTTCCCTCCTCCAGATGGCAGAGTCAAGACAGGTTTTGTGTGTGAGCGTGTGTAGCGTGCTCGCATGTGAGATTCTGAGGGGCAGGGGACTAACTGGATTCTGAGGCTCTGTCCAGCAGCGGCTTCTCTGTGGGTTCCCGACATCCGGCTGGTGTGTGGAGCTCAGAGGGCTGCAAGCCTCCGCCGTCTACAGACAGGCCCTCGACGGCTCCGGGTGCCTCTGAAGCTGGGGGACAGAAAGGCACAGTAAGCCTGTGTGTCGGCCGCACCCAGCAGCTGGCCCTGAGCCCAGGAAGGTGCCAATACACCCCACCCCTGGGCTCTGCCAGGCCACAGTGAGCTTCTGGGCTGTGCCAGGTGTGGAGCTCTGGCAACACAGATCAGCCCATCTGCAGCCCCCAGGGCCGCTTTTCCTTGGCTTCTCGGCCCTTTCTTTGCACGGGGCGCCCCTAACCTACCCACTAGGGGACAACCAGTCCCTTAGAGCTGGCTGCCTGGCATGAACTGTCCATGGCCTAAACTGCCTTGGGTGAAAATCCCTCCTCTCCTGTCTCCGAATCCATGCTCTCTGAGCCAGAAATTCTCCTGGCAATGGCGTCCCACGAGGCCCACCCCATTCATACTGATGCCTGGGAGGAACCATGTGACCTTCTCCCTCTGTGTTTGCCTGGCAAACATTTCCACCCCCGGCGCCACACAAGGTGCAAGCCTGTAATTCTAGCCTTCAGGTAGTAGAGGCAGGCAGGCAAGTCGTTCAAAGTCATTTCTGGCTCCACAGGGATTTCGAGACCAGCCTGGGCTATGCGAGACGCTGTCTCCAGACAAACAAGCATAACAATAAAATTAAAATAAAATTAAATTAAATTAAAATAGAGTGGTGCTCGGGAAGGTGGCTATGAGCTTCCATTCTTTTCCCATCCCTAACCCTTCCTGACGCTGCTCAAAGCCTAATGTCAATCCCAGCCCTGGGAAGATGCCCAAGCTGGAGGCAGCTGCAGTTGCTATGGCAACTGGTAGACTTGCGCCTGCTCACCTTGGCTGCTGCAGGTGGACGTTCTCTGGCTACTGACACACAGGGGTAGGAAGCTGGGCCTCTTGGGCCGGGTTTCCGGGGCCGCGGCAGTGGCTGCGCCCTCTCTCCTGGGCTCCTCGGAGGCAAGCCTCTTGAAGGACAAGGCCCTCTTCAGGCTGGATTTCTTCTCCTGGGTTTTCTTCCTTGGGGGTGGTGTCGGTCTCTGTGGAGCCACTTCTGGCTGAGGGGCTTGCTCTTGCTGTGGGGGGAGGGAAACTGAGTCAAGCCCCAGACCTTGAGGAGACGGTAGAGGCAGCTTCAGACAGGGAGGGTCTGGAGTGGGAGGTGGCTTCGGGAATTGGGGACTGGGGCTAGCTGGGAAGGAAGGACAGACAGGTAGAGCACGAACCAGGAGCTGCCGTCGGGTTCTCTGACGCCTGCGGCTCACCTCTTCCAGCTGGTCTCCCGCTTTCTTGAGCAGCTCCACTATCTGCCAGATGACTTCATCCTCTGCAAGAGAGCACACGGACCACCGCTCGTGAGCACGCAGGCGGTGTTCAGATCTGGACTCCCAGGGCGACCGTGGCCAGTCCACGTCCCCCAGGGATCCAGAAGAGCTCATCAAAGGTTCTGAAGGGAGAACTGTAACTTTTAAAAATTTGACTTATTGGGGGTCAGAGGACATCTTTTGGAAGTGAATTCTCTTCTTTCTATTATGTGGGTCCCAGGACTTGAACTCAGGTCAGAGCAGGGTGGCCCACTCTGCCTTACACAAGGGCGGCGTGCTCCGTCCACTAGCTGTACCTGAAAGGTCTAAGGTGGCTGGGGATTAAACTCAGGACCTTTGGAAGAACAGCCAGTGCTCTAAACCTGAGGAAACTGGAGCAGCCCAAGAGCTATCCAACCGGCCGTTGGACAGTTCTTTCCATTTTTCCGTCTATCTGCTTTATTTATTTAAGCCCAAGACCTCTTACCTGATGAGCAGAATTCCTGTCTAACTACGCCTTCAGCCCCTACTCGACAGGTGGGTGGCAGGTATAGACAGACAGACAGTTGACAGATGACAGATGAGTGGAGTCTTACGTTGCTCAAACTGACTTCCAATTCCATCTGTGCCTGAGGATGACCTTGAACCTCCGATCCTCCTGCCTCTACCTCCTCAGTGCTGGGATTACAACTGGACACCTCCACACCCCATGTATGGGATGCTGGGCTGGGGTGTAATGCCAGCTCTGTGCATGCCAGGCCAGCATTCTGCCAGCTGAACTGCATCCCCGCCTGTCTTCCGTGTGTCTGTAAACTTTAGGAGATTGGAAGCAAAGCGCTGCTCCCGTTGACACGGAGGCCGGAGCGCTGGCCAGCAGCCTTTCTGGTGCCTCGACCTCCCCCCCCCCCCCCCCCCGCTTCTCCCCCACCCCTCCCGTTAGATTCTGAAGTAAGTTCTCAGTGCCGGAAGCAGCAGAATGGCCAAGAAGGATCTGTCTGTGCCTTGAGACTTGGCCTGCTCGGTCTCAGCGGCCACCCTGAGTGACCCCTCCAGTCTGGCGCCGCCACCTACCCACAAGAAAAGAAGGACCCCAGCCATTTGGACTCACGGTTAAGCTTCTGGGGGTCCTCTTCCGAGGGGGGACCCGCGGCTTGGGCAGGTCTGTCTGGGGATTCAGCATGGCCTCCTTCAGTGGGTAAGGCCCCTGGAAAGCAAACCACATCAAGCAGAAGCCTGATTTAGTGACATTCCTCTGACCTTGTCAGTCCGAATCAGCGTGAGCTCCAGAGTGACAGGCCAGGCAGCGACCACCCCCAAGCCTCACCCCAAATCAGAGACTGGCCAGGATTTCCAGGTGAAAATGGGATGTCTCAGGCCAGGGCCCCCTCCCAGCAGCTCTCCCTGAGCCTCCTTCCCATTGCAGCGACAGTGTGGCCACACACTAGAGCCTCCAGCTGAGGCCTCTGGGGGCAGAAGGGACTTCCCTCCACACCCCCTGACACAGGAATGCGCGTGGGGGTGGGGGCAGCCTACTCCCTCCTTTCTCCCCAGGGGTCAAGGGCTCCAGGGGCAGCCACCGCAGAAACCAGAGCCCCAGATTTCCTCTGTGCTGTTTGTTCTGTTTGTTTGTTTTTCAGGACAGGGCTTCTCTGTGTAGCCCTGGCTGGCTGTCCTGGAACTCGCTCTGTAGACCAGGCTGGCCTCGAACTCACAGAGATCCACCTCTGCCTCTGCCTCCCAAGTGCTGGGACTAAAGGCGTGTGCTACCATACCCAGCAGCAGATCTGTTCTTGACGGAACAGGGTCTATCTATCTAGAGAGCCCCTAGCGCGACCCCACAGGCCTGTGGGGTGGGTGATCGGCTACTTCCAGCCCTCTGCACTTGTTTCTGCATGAGCTGTGTTGACCCGTGAGGCAGCAACTATTTTATCTCTTGTTTTTTTGTGGATGGGGGTGGGGTGGGCCCCTTAAGTCGGCAGCGCTGGGCCACAGGCTTGTAGAAATCGGTGGCGCCTCTGTTGGGTTGGTCTCAAGCATTCAGCTGTTCACAGAAACGTCCCCCCCCCCCCCCCCCGGCTGTCCACACCTAATCTTGGTTGAGGACATTTAGTGAACAAACTTAGAGCAGCCTGGCCTTCAGGTGGGACAGTGGGGTTACCCTAATCTGCTCACCCCCGCAGCTCAGCCCCAGGTCTGCCTCCTTGGCTTCTATCTCAGAGTTCTGGGGCCCGCGAGGCTCCTCCACATCGGGCTTCCTGTGGCTGTGTTTCTTGCGGCCCGCTCTCTTCTCCTGGGACTTCTTACTGAGGGCTGGCTCCTCGGCCCACTCCAGGGGCTCCGTCCTCTCGCCTTTGGCCTTTGACTTCCTGTTGGCCTTTTCTCTGGGCTCCTCTAGCCCCAGCAGCAGGAAATTCAGGAACATTCTCACCCAGCCCTGCTGGGCTGGCTTCGGGGGCCTCTCTTTCTTGGTGTCTTCTGAGGGGCCCTGCTCACTGGGGAGAAGCTGGCTCCCCTCTCCCAGAGGGAGGGCTGTGGCAGCAGGGCCCCGAGCTTCTGTGGAGAGAGGTGGCCTCCCAGAGCCTCTGGCGCCCTCGCTCGCTGTCCTCCTGCAGCTGGGCCCGGAGGGGCACCCGGAGTTTGGGGATTCAGAGGCCTTCCTGGGAACCTGCCGGTCCAAGGATCCAACTCTCTTATCTGCTGGAGGATTCCTCGGGCCCCTCAGGGTCTCCAGTGGTCTACAACCAAAACAAACAGCTCCCTCAGGAGGCTGACCCGTGCCCACCTCCATTCCCAAAGCTCCTGTCGCTGTCACTGTGAATCCGCCCTCCCCTGGTGATGCCTCATTTGGAGCCCTGGAGAACCCCACAGGGGAGGAGGTCACTACTCCCAATTTCCAGGGAAGGAAAGGGAATCAGATGCTCAGGCCAGTCAGTGGCTAGCAGAGGAGCCCAGCCCCGCCCTCACCACCTGTCTCCCCACAGATGATTTTGGGTTTATGACTCTCAAGTAATTAACTCATCAAAAGGACCTTGGTTCTGGCAGACACAGAACCCTCACATGCCTCCTCCAGGACGCTGGTGTGGTCAGATTGAGAATCAAAGGCACTAATGCTCACAGAGAAAAGCAGGGCACCGGGCACCGGGCACTGGGCACTAAGTCCTGTTCACACCTGAAGGCTCCCAAAGAGCCACGCTGATGTTCCTGAGCTGTCTGCCATGAGGGGAGCAAGGGGCCTTCTGGGTTCCCTCCTCCCTCCCCTCTCCTTCCCTCCTTCACTTCAGTGTTGGTTTAGAGGCAAGTTCTCACTGCTGCAGCCCAGGCTGGCCTTGAACCCTCAGCCATGCCTCAGTCTCCTGGCCTGGCCTGCTGCATGCTCAGACCAGCAAGCTGTACTACGATCTGTGTACTTTCCAGCACTGGGGCTGGAACCCAGGTCCTTGAACATGCTGGGCAAGTGTTCTGTCCCTGCAAGGCCTGCCTCTTCCGCCCTGGGCCGGGTCCCTGCATGGTCCATCATCTTTTTGTTTGTTTCATTTTGTTTTGTTTTTGAGACATGGGCTCTATATGGCCCTGGCTGTCCTGGAAATCAATATGTGGACCAGGCTGGCCTCAGGCTCACAGAGATCCTCCCAAGTGCTGGAACTAAAGGTTTGTTTTGTTTTTATCCTGCCCAGCAAATATTTTTTAAAAATTAAGTACGGATACATGTGTCTGTCTGTGCATGTGTGTGTATGTCCACAGTGTCCAGGGGAGGGTGTTGAATCCCCCTGGAGCTGCAGTTACAGGCTGCTGTGAGTTGTCCTATGTGGGTGCATCAAATAAATAAAGAAATAGATGCCATGAGCTAGCAAGATGGCTCAGGGTTTAAAAGAGCGTACTGCTCTTCCAGGGTCCCAAGTTCTGGTCCCAGCACCCACATCACACAGCTCACAACTGCCTATAACTCCAGCTACAAGGGGATCTGATGCCCTCTCCTGCCTCCACAGGCACCCCCACATGGCAGACACACATGTGCGCGTGCGCGCGCGCGCGCTCGCACACATACACACGGCAGACACACACACATGAATAAAATAAGTAAACACAAAGTATATATTTCCATCACATCCCTTGCTTTCACCAAATAGTTAATTCATATAAGTGTATTCTGCCGGTATGTCTAGCGCAGAGGCAAAAATAAGAATCTGGAATTGGGTTGGTGAGATGGCTCTGGGGATAGAGGTGATCGCTGCCAAGCCTGAGGATCTGAGTTCAATCCCCGGGACCCACATGCTAGAAGAAGAGAACTGACCCTGAAAAGTCGTCCTCTGAGTTTCACCTAGTGCCACGGCATGAGTATGCACACACACACACACACACCAGCCTCTGTCTGGGGTGGGAGAACTGGACCCCCACAGCAGGGCACCCATTACCACAGGCCATGGAGACCTGGTGTCTCGCATGAAGGAGGGGAGGCTGTCCTCGGGCCGGGGGAGGACTCAAGCATTTTGAAAAGCTGCGCTGGTTACTTAATGCTCTGTGAAAATACTATGCATCTGGGCTGCGTAGTGCCTGCCTCTCCTGTGGCAACTAAGTTCCTGAAAGCCCAGAGGTCGGCTGCCTGACTTGTGCTTTCACAGTGCAGCTCTGGGGGGAATAAGGGAAGGAAAAAAGAAAAGAAAAGAAGGAAGCAATCTGACCTTCCCCACATTCACTTCTTTTGGCTTTTACCACCTCTGGAATCCTGCCTGTCTGGTGCTATGTAAGGATACTGGGCAAGAGGCCACGTAGATCCAAAAGAGAATGTGCTGGTATTTACACTGATAAAGCCACGACTCCAGGGCAGGGCTCAACAGCCGCCTCTAGGAGGCCGCAGGCTTAAGAGAAGACATATTTAGAGCAATGGGCTGGCTGATTATATTAATCAGATCAAAGGAAGCTGGGCCAGAAATACAGTTCCAAAAGCAGTCAGGGCTTCTGATGGCCAGATCCTAACAGAGACCATGAAAGTAGCTGAACGTGCAGGGTGCCATAGTCAGTGCCTCAGGCTCCTCATCTTCCCTGAGGTGGCCTGGCACCAGGGGCCCATCCCACCCAGGTGGAAGAAAGGGGCACCCATCTTTAAAGGGGGGGCGTTGCCATGGAAAGCTTTCCCCAGCTGTGGCGGTGAGCTCAGCGCTCTCTCTCTCCCGCCTGCTGCTTTTTCACGATGATGTTTCCCAACGTCCCCAGTGAAGGACCACCCCAAGGGTCCCCAAGACCTCCTGATACCAAGCCCAGAGACTTGGGGGGGACTGAGAGACCCGCCTCTCCAAATTACACAGCCACTGATCTCTGAGGTGCTCTCAGCATGAAGTTTTGCCCAGCTGGGAATAGCAGATGACTTTCTTCCTCCTTCCCCTTTAGCTTGCTTTGAGCCCATGTCTGGATGGATTGTAGGGGAAATCCTGCCCTGGCCCACGTTGCCGCCACCATGGCTGACAGCAGGCTTCAGAACAAAGTCCATCCTAGCCAGAAATGCGGGGGGGGGGGGGAGATACACAGATCACAGAGCCTAAGGTAGGAAAACAGCTCCAGTGACTCACTTCACAGCCACAGGAGCTGGCGTGGTTTTCCCCGGCACGAGGCTGTGTTTGGCATGTTTTCTAATCTCTGACCTCATCGTTACATTTGCCTGGCCTGTTATTCTCATGCCACAAAGTACTCCTTCCTCCATGCCTGTAGGTACTCAACACACACACACACACACTGAGTTTCAGCCTGCCCTAACTCAGAACGCCCAACACTGTCTAAAATTGCACAGCCAAGCTTGCTGCTGGCCACAGGTCTAAGGTGCCTAAGGGATACCTGGCCAGAGGCCTCCCTGCTGTCCCTACCCCTGGCCAGGCAGGCCCTGGGTGTTTATGAAACAAACAACTACACAAACACATGGTAAGCCCTTTCACCTCTGTGATCTCACTGAATCCGACGGCTCCCTGTGAATCAGCCTGTCTGGGGGGGGGGGGGGGAATCCGAGGTCCCCAGCCTCTGACACACTGTCAAAGTCCCTGTGCTGGGAGCAGAGAGCTGGCCCAAACCACCTTCTCCCCGTCCAATTTCAGATCCTGCCTTCTCACTCCTGTCCCGAGCCACGTCTTCTGAACATGTCACATACCTACGTGTGTACATGGGACAGACATGTGGACCCCAGGCACAAAGACTACGAACACGGAGCGGGCCTGGCTACCCCTTGGCAGCTGGGTCCTGAGGGAGTCTCCCTGGAGATCTCCAGGCCTCCACTGGCGTGCCTGAATGGGATGTTCCCATTCTGTGCCACACTTGGCCACACCAGTCAAGCGGTGACAATTCAAGGGCTCCTCCATCTTTTCTTGGGGTCATTCTTGGGCCCCCGAGGTGCACGGGCCCTGCACGGGGCTGAGCTCACCCCTGAGTGTGGGAACCGTCAGACCCATGACCCACACGGTGGCCCCCGTAACCTCTGAGGGCCTTGCCGAGCAGAGGCTGGGCCTAAGGGACATCCATCTGCCTCGGTGGCCTTCCTCACACAATGAGAGCAAGCCACTAAGCCCTCTCCATTCCAGCCTCACCTGCTCCAGACCTGCTGGTGATTCCTGAGCCGCTCACACCTGAGCTCGCTTCCCTGATGCTCCCCAGCTGTCTTTGTGCATGTCAACGCTGTGGGGGGCCCAGGGGCACACCCAGATGGGCAGAGGCTCAGGGCCCGACCTCAGCTGTCCTGGCTCCAGGAGAGCCCGAGCAGCCCCTGAGCGCCCTGCCTGAGCCTCAGTGGGAGGGAGTGTCCCCTGCCTGCTCCTCCGTGTCACCGACAAACACATCACTCAGCGTCTGTGTTCTAAAGCGTGGGAGATTCTCTTCATACATGTGTATGCATATGCTTGTGTGGTATGTGTGTGTGATGTGTGTGTGTGTGTGTGTGTGTGTGTGTGGTGTGCATGGGAGAGCAATGTGTGTGTATTGGGGTACCACAACACACACGTGGCTGTCAGAGGACTCATTCTTTCTTTCCTCCCTTATGGGTTCCAGGGGCTGACCTCAGGGTGTTGGGCACCTTCTGAGCCACGCTGCTGGCCCCTGCGCCGTCTTTTTAAAATATAAGAAGGCAGATCCTCTCGGATCCCCAAGTTGGAAGCGGAACCAGGCTTGGTTCCGCATTACCCATCACATCCGGCTTCCTCTTGGGACCCTGGAATACCCACCCGGGGCCCCGGCTCCCAAGGCCCCCACCTGCCACAACCCACCTCAGACCACTGCTGTCCCGGGACACCCCTGGGCTGGGGTTCCTGGTGCTGGGCATGGCTCTCCCGGTCAGCAGAAGTCCTTCGAGGGTCGGATCCACTGCCAGGGAGAAGATGCTGTCTTCACGCCAGGTAGCACTTGAGGGGTTCACGACTTCTGGGTTCTATATATCATCGCCCCAGCTGGTACCGCCCGCTCCTCCGGGCTCTGCCCAGGAGACAGAGGGGAGGAACCCCACACAGTTTCAGTCCACAACTTCCTTATTATACCTGAATCCCAGGACGAAACCAGCTCCCGTGACTGGTGAAATCGAAAGCAAAGCTTTTGTTTGGAAACTCTGGGGCGTGAGGGTGGTCATGCCTGACGCCCCTGGAGAGGGAAGGGGCTGGAGGGACAGGCCGTGGACGGGATGTGTGCAGAGCAACCCGGAGACAAACCTGCCCGTGGGAGCCGTGTGTCTGTTGCCTTCCGTGGAGTGTGGGCTCACCACCAGCTTTTCTTTCTGTTCCTGTTTTTAACGTTTGGGTTTGTTCTTTGACAATTTCATATGCGGGTACACTGTATCTTGACCATTTCTATGCCCAAATCTCCCACCCGTTCCCCTCCAGCCGCACCAGCGGTTGCCACTCCTGCCTTCCTTCCTTAACCCTTTGAGGCCATCCAGTTAAGTGCTGCCTTCGTGGCCAAAGGCCAGTGCCATTCTAGAAAAATGACCCCTCTACCCCAGCGACCTTAAAAATCAAAAGCTTCTGGGGCTGGAGAGAGAGTTCAGTGATTAAGAGCACTGGCTGCTCTTGCAGAGGACCTGGGCGCAGTTCCGAGCAACCTAAATCATCCATAATTCCCGTTCAAGGGGATCTAATGCTTTCTTCTGCCCTCTAATGGCGCCGCACCTACCCCCACATACACATACATGTAAGCGAAATGCTTATACACACGAATCTTTAAAAATGTGCTTTAAACACACACACACACACACACACACACACACACAGGCACACAGGCACACATGCCTGCCTGCACATTGGCCAGATTTCCTGGTGGACTCCCTTAATCCCCATACCCGGAGGCGTAGGCAGGCAGATCTGCGTTAGAGCTGTTTAGCTACATAGTAGGTTTCATGCCCATCAAGGGTAGTGGGATCCTGTCTCAAAAAAAAAAATTTTTTTTTTCCAACGGTGAAGTTTTTGTCATGTGTATTTTGTCACATCAAAAAGAAGCCAAGGGCTGGAGAGATGGCTCAGAGGTTAAGAGCACTGCTTGCTCTTCCAGAGGTCCTGAGTTCAATTCCCAGCAAATACATGGTGGCTCCCAACCATCTGTAATGAAATCTGGTGCCCTCTGCTGGCCTGCAGGTGTACATGCAGACAACATTGTACACATAATAAATAAATTATTCTTTGAAAAAAAAAAAAAAAAAGAAGAAGAAGAAGCCAATAGGGCTGGGTGTGGTTGCCTTTAATGCCAGAACTCAGGAGGCAGAGGCAGGTGGAGCTCTGTGAGTAGTTCCAGGGCAGCCTGGTCTACAGAGTGAGTTTTAGGCCAGCCAGCACTCTGTTACACAGAGAAATGCTGTCTTGAAAAATAAAAACAAAAAAAAGAGCCAATAAGCAGGAGCAGGTGTGGGTCACTGGGCAGGTGTGGGTCACTGGGCAAATGTGGGGTCACTAGGCAGGTGTGGGTCACTGGGCAAATGTGGGGTCACTGGGCAAATGTGGGGTCACTGTGCAGGTGTGGGTCACTGTGCAGGTGTGGGTCACTGGGCAGGTGTGGGTCACTGGGCAAATGTGGGGTCACTGTGCAGGTGTGGGTCACTGGGCAAATGTGGGGTCA